AATAGTACTAGGTTTACTTCAATAATGAAAATAGGAAATAAAATTATTATTTTTTTTTCCAGGAAAAGATTGTTAGTATTAGATTCTACCAACTGAACATAGATTCCTAAACTACAAAGATCTACTCAAGAAGATTGTAATTTAAGGAGTTTATTATCTGCTAAAATTGATATATTTGCCTAAATGTTACAAAGCAACAATATTTATGCATTAATAAAAAAAAATGTCACATATCTGCTCCAGAGTAAGATTAGTATTTTCAGCTTATTGACTATCTCGTCAATTCAGTCATTTAAATTTGGTTTCTCTTTCATATGAGATGGCCTAGCGTATCCAAGACAGCCAAGACATATGACATAGGTTCTCCTAGCATCTTGTTTTTTTCTAAAATGTCCTGATGACATTTGAAATATGAATATATAAATAATATGCAAATATGTAAATATGTAAATATATAAATATCCCGAGGAATGTAAAAAATATACCCATGTTTAGACAGTAAAATCAAAATTGATTCTAAGTATGGAAAGTAACCTAAGGACTGGATTATACTTGAGCATATGCTGGCTCCATTTCTACAAAGGATAAGGTCAAGCATTCAGAAAGTCATACGTATTTACTTGAACTATACAGCTTTAGATATTTATTATACATTCATTACTCTCAACTAAATGTTTCTGTGTTTTTGTTTTTTTTTTGAACATCCTGTTTATATTTGAAGGAGTTGATATGCTGGTGACATCTTCAAACTGAAATGAAGAAGCTGAAGTCGAGATGGATCTGATTAGACCTCAACCATGAATCTACAAAATATGAAGTGTCAGACATGCATGCGCACACACACACACACACACACATAATGTACCTGAAAGACCAAGATTAAATCCCAGAGGTGAAAATAAGTGGAGTCAGATATTTTTTTCTTACCAAACACGGTATATTTATCTATTTAACTTTATGCTCTAATTTCAGGGTAACTTCAGAAAATGAGTGTGACTGTGTAAAATCAGGGTACTTACAAATACTAAAATGTTTATGTAACTATCACTGATCAGAAGACCCAGCTGATGCTATTGAGATTGACTCTGTAAACACAGTGTTGTGTTACTATTCATTTTTTCACAATGTTTTTGATGAGATGAGCATAGTTTGTAAATCCACGTGGCCGAGACAACATAGAAGCTGCAGTCTGATTCAGAACTTTATCTTAGATGTACAATGGAACACTGCTCACATCTAGAAATTATGGATTCTGTTCATTAGTGTTTGAAGGAGTGAAATGCTGACTGCAGGTATAGATTTAGATTTGGAGTAGCTGTGTAAGATGAAAGGATAATGTATATTTTGGCAAGAGCCAAAATATAAATATAAATGTCCCACCCATATAAATGTGGGTGGGACTGAGTAATGACAGCAAATGTAAGGGGATAAGAGGAACTAATTTGAGCAGCAGTAAAGTTTTTTTGTGTGTGTAGAAATAGCAGTTGCCAATATGCACATTAATCAAATACACTGCTTGTTGCTGCTAAAGGCAATTTTAATTCCGTATTTACTACTGCGATGTTTTACTTTGAGCACTGTACTGTTCATTTAAATGATCATGCTACTTGTATTTATGTTTCTTCTTAATACAATGTGCAGCTGAATTTATTATAAAACATTTCTACCAAGATACAACATCAGCAGAAAGGGAAAAGACAGATAAATGAAGGACAAATAACTATGCTAGAACAAGATTTCATGAATATATATTTTGCAACACCTAAGAAAATTATATATCCTTCATAGGTAAAACTTCTACACACCTCAGTTTCCCTTTTTGTATTTGCACTTACCTTCTTCATAGCACATATCTATAGTGCAAAGCTATGCAGAAATAAATGATACTCTTTTCAGAAAGAAGGAACTTGAGAATATAGTTTCTCTCATAAGCATTAAATAGGAAATCTTACTGTTAGATGCAGTAAAATCCAGAGTACTTTAGGCTGCAGGTGGATTCCCCATAGATGTGATTCTGCAGCAGTTTTGTATTTCCAGTTTCAGTCAACAGTGAAGCTGAGCAGGTATTTCCAATGGGCAAGTGTGTGTGCACTTTTACATACACTCGTGTGCATGTATAATGCTATGCATGCACTTGTTCAGTGACACAGGTCAGCAAAGACAGAAACCTATGCCTTTACTGGAACCCTTATGAACACATATGGCTCCTCCTGGTTGTTCCTTGATCATTTTCATGCCTTTGGTCCTTCCTTTAAACATAACGAGTTTTACATGGTACCCACATTCTTTTCCCCAGCATCATGTAATACGTCCTATAATCTAGTAGGTAATAACTCCCTCTGACTTGCACAGCATTCAAGGGTGACTGTTTCTTTTACTGACTTTTCTTTATGGGTCTGCTATTTGGGACAACGGTTAGACCATTCTCCTCAGATAAAGAGTAGCTAATTCAGTGCATGACATTGCCATTCATAATGAACTAGAGTTCTTACACCAGTCCTTGTGTTTATTGCCATTAGCCTTTAATCACATAATCTCACACTTTTATGTGTGTATCACTGATGTAATTGCCCTTCTCACTTATGTTATGTAGTTCCCCTATCTAAGTCAGAGTCTGCATGCAAGTAATTGCATGGAAATATATTTGTGCCTCTAAGCTTCAATGTACAAATTTACAAAACTGCCACCAAACTCTTTTTTGGAAGCTTGATCACTTAAAAGAGGATAAGATTTTAGATTTATTAAGGTATTGAGAATGTAAGACCTCTGTAAGCAGAGCTCATCATTGCTGCTATCAACTCTATTACTCAGTCAGAGATATTCTCACAGAGACAAATAAATGAGAGAAATTAAGCTAAATTAAAACTCACACGATTGAGAAACAAGATGTTTACTTGAAGAGCTTTTTCTTAAGATGCTCCAACAAAGTTGTATTTCAGATTACAACAATAGTGACATCCCAGGTGACAGGTGCAGGTGAGGAATTGAACAGAAAAAAATGATTTATGAAAATGAAATTTCATGTGGGATCCTTTTCTTTTTTGTTAAAAAAAAAAAAAAAAAAGAGAAGAGAAGAAAAATTATTTTTCTCCTGGAGCCTCTGGCCGTGGCGCTTATGACTTAGCAATATTACCCAAAATATGCAGAATGTGATGAATTCCAAATTAATGTAGCCTTATGTGTAGTAAACCACTTTTTCTTCTTGATTCAAGTATGTTTTCTTTTCCCATTGCATAAAAAAGATTGTTAGCTTTTAAGCTCTCTTCTGCAAACAATGTTTTGGAAATATCACTCACTTTTATTTAATTCTCAGAATTTTAATAAGGCATACTGAGCATTAATATTTAAACTCACTTCTAAAATTATTTTTTCCATGGTAGTATTTGCTCAGTTTTATGACTAACTGAAGTGCAATACATTTGCATTTCAGGGCTCTAAGAAGAATTAAGAACTTCTGTCTGACACTGTAGAGTTCATTCAAACTCATATTCAGCAGAAAAAAAGAAGAGCCCCATAAGAGGTCGATGGGAGGAAGGGGAAGCCAAAAAAAAAAAAAAGAGAGACTGTCTTATCTGTGAAGAAGGTGTGAGGATAGACACTCCCACCAGAATTTCTGTTTGGTAGCATTGGTTTTGGATGCTTGAATTGCTGTTCCATTGATTTAAGTTGTTGCCATTAAAAGTCAGATTAAATCATTTCTATAGTCATGTATAGTTTTTTTTTTTTTTTTTTTTTTTTTTTAATTGCTTGCATAATCAATATTGCATTCCGTAGAGAGAAATTCATTTCCTTATAGGTACCTGATGGTGTTACATTCCCATGAAACATATTGGGATATCTATTTTTCAAAATGACTTCAATGGAATTAATGAAATGAAATCTTGCCAATATATGTAGGGATTTCAGGAACAAATGAGATTTTTTGAAGGATGAGGAATTGGTTCCAACGTTATTTCCAGAGACTGGTGGTCAGTGATTCAATGTCCAGATGGAGATCAGTGACGAGTATTGGTCAGGAGTCAGTACTGGGGTCAGTACTCTTTAACTCTTTTTTATTCTTTATCAATGACATCAACAGTGGGATTGAGTGCACTCTCAGCAAGTTTGCAGGTGAAACCAAGCTGTGTGGTGCCATCAACATGCTCAAGAGGCAAGATGATATTTAGAGAGACTTAGACAGGCTCAAGCAATGAGTCCAGATGAGTCTCATGAGTTTCAGCAAAGCAAAGTGCAAGGTCTTGTACATTGGTTGTGGTGACCTCTATTATCAGTACAAGTGGGGAGATGAAAACCTGGAATACAAACCTTCCAAAAAGGACTTGAGGGTACTGGTGGATGGCAGCTGAACATGAGCCAGCAATGTTCCTCGCAGCCCAGAAAGCCAACTGTATTCTTGGTACATCAACAGAAGCGTGGCCAAGGGAGGTGATCCTGCCCTTCTGCTTTGCGCTGGTGAGTCCTCATCTTGAGCATTGTGTCCAGATATGGAGTACTCAGCACAGGAGAGATATATGGGAATGTTGGAGCACATCCGGAAGAGGGCCACAAAAATTATGCAAGATATGGAACACCTCCCCTATGAGGACAGGCTGATGAAGCTGGGTCTATGCAGCCTGGAGAAGGATCTGAGGAGACCTGGGAATGGTGTTTAGATATCTAAAGGAGACTGTAAGAAAGAAGGGCACAGACTATAAAAGTCTTCTGTGACAGAACAAGGGGAAATGACTTCAAATTAAAAGAGAGGAGACTTAGATTGGACATAAAGAAGGAGGGTTTTTTTACAATAAGGATGGTGATGCATTGGAACAATTTGCCTTTAGAGGTGGTGAATGCCCTGTCCCTGGAGACATTCAAGGTCAGACTGGACCAGGCTCTGAGCAATATGATCAAGCTGCAGGTCTTTCTATTCACTGCAGAGGAACTGAACTAGATGAACTTTGAGGGTTCTTTCCAACACAAAAGATTCTATGCTTCTGAACTGTTATGTCACAACAGATGATGGAGCACCTAGTGAAGGGAGTGGCTGGTGCAGGAAGCACAGGTGTGCGCTTTCCACCTGACTGGAAGTGGTAAGCCCTGGATCCATACCTCCCTGAGCTCATTTAAGGACTAACCTCTAAAAGGAGGATGTACTGTAACTAGATGTGTTTACTTACTAAAAGATTTTTAAAAAGACTATGATGTTTAAATCTTGCTAGAAGATAAAAAGTAATAAAAGTATCCTATGAAGTTCTTGTAGAAGTTTTCTTTCGTTTTTGAAAGAACTTTGCTATTGATTCTTTATTGTAGTTATAGCTAAATAAGTTGGGCTAACCCAGTGTTTTGAAGTCAAAGTGCTGTTATTCAAATTGAAGCTATGAAGCACATGTTGACAGGTTCACTGATTTCTGATCTTTATGAATATGCTATTATTACTAAAATTACTCTACTCATGCATTCACCTTTATCTAGACGTAATGATTTTGAGATAGCCAACTACATATTAATTTGAAATCCTTTTCATTTCTACATTTCTATAATTCGCATGAAACTTTTCATGTATCTTTTTTCCTACTGGTCCCTCTGGGTTACTGCTGCACTTGGCATTGTGCATAATATTGAGGGACACTTATTTCAGTTTTATTCCTAAATCTTCAGTTTATGAAGATGGGTATTTCTTCATTTTCCCTTCACTTTTTCCCATTTGTTTCCCATATTAGAGCTTATATTTTCTTCTTGCTTTGTTCCCCTTTATCTCCTCCTTTAACTCTGAAACCAGTCTTTAGGATGAGAGACTTAAAACCAGCATTTTTTTAGGTGGTTGTTTAGGCTACAGTGAAAAGCAATTCTTTAATAGACACAACAAAAATTGCAACGTTAGATTTCATTTATCTGAAATCTAAAATCATGTTGATTTATCTTCTGCAGTTCATCAGAAAACACTGAGATCATATAATCTTGTTCATGCCTCTAAGTAACTTCTTTCATTTAAATACATATGAACACAGACCTGGATGAGTTTAAAAGTGAAGTCTAATGGAAGTGAAGTGGTTTCCTGGCTTAAATGTTTGCATACACATAGGAAAACAAAACTATACAGGGAACTTAGAGTGAGAAGAGACTGAATGCCAGAAGGAAATGAATATTTCTGTTTCAAACAAAATGAAGTTTAAATCAGTGCAAGAAGAATCAGTCAAATATGTCAGTTATTTGTGAGGTAGGTGGAGCTTATCAGTGAGAAAGAGAACATCGTGACATGTAATGAGGTACAAGGATACTGGAAAGTAAACCAATCATCCCACAGAAACTAAAAATTAATCATCACTGTACAGCCAGCAAAATCATGTATAAGTTTAACAACAAGAACAAACAGAAAGGTTAACATGTATGTGTGAGATAAAAGCCAATGCTTTCCTGATTTTTTTTTTTCTTTCTATTCTTCTCTGTAATTGAACTTCAAATAGACAGAAGCATGACTCATCCAGAATACAATAGATTTAAAAGAAATGCCTGGATTTATTTATTTATTTATTTATTTAGTGCTGAATGCATAGCAGATTTAACTATAAGCTTAAGATTTGGTCTGGATTTTTTTTTAATTTTTTTTTTTTCCGTCCTGAATTTTCAGATATCTTCAGCTATTTCAGCCTCTGATGAGGTAAATATATATATATATATATCTCATAAGTGAACCAGTAAAGTAGGTACAAATTCCTGACCTAGGAAAAGAGAACAAGTTCAGAAAAACCCAGGTGAATGTTCACTTCTTCTTCTACTCTATTCAATCACTTTCAAGTGAATTAATGATAGTGATAATTTTTAGCATACATCACTTTTGGTGGGTACGTGTCTTCTGTTTGCTAACATCTCCTTTTGAAAGGTTTCAAAAAATTTTTCAGTAATTTTTATTAAAGTTTATATATAATTAGTTTATTGAGCTATTAAGGGCAATACTTAGATGTTAAAGCACTATTTATGAACTTTTTACTATAGTAGTCAAAAAACTTCTTAGCAAGTTTAGAATAACTTTGATGTGGAATTAATAAATTCACAGGTCTACTTAAAGCCTACATAATTCCATTGACATCACAAATAAAATTATTAAAACACCTATAATCATTCATTTGGAATCACTGGATTACAATTGCTTCTTGAAAGGAGTTGGAATTTAAGAGGAAAAAAGAATAAATAAAATACTCTTTAAATAAAGCATTAGAAGCAGTTGTCCACATTTCCTGAAATTATTTAGACAAGAAAAATATTACATTTTATATGGAAATTTAAGTAGGTAGTCAGCATATCTGTGTGTTTTTAAAGATGTTTAAGGACAGTTTGAGTGCTTTTGGAAACTGCACTTACCTATTCAGTGTGAGGTACAATTTTTCTACAAAGAAGCCAAGATGGCATTCAGCAGTGCTAATCTAGGGAGAAAAGCGAGTGCATTTTAACTATCCTCATTTTCTCCCTTGTAGCTCAGGGAGCCTGCCCATGAACTGCATGTGATTGAGAAGTAGTTGTAGTACCATCAGATGCTGTTGTTAGCATTGTAATTGAAGTGCCATACTGTTTTGGAATTCATGTGTTTTCATGATTAGAATTTGATGAAAAATATGATTAAATGTGATTAAAACAATGAGTGCCAGCCTTCAGAAATGTTTTAAACACCTGTCAGTGTGTTAAATATGTGGATGGGATTTGTCAATTCTTATTAAGATAATTTATTTCTTACTACTATTGTCAAGATATGCGCTTCATACTCTCTCATTTATGACCCAGCAAACAAAGTAACTTAGTTCTTTATTCTTTTTTTTTTCTCCTCACCCATCAAAAGGTCAAGTAAAAATGGAAAACTGAGGATGATGTGCCCTTCCCTGACTGTCTTTCATTGCTAGGATTTAGTGACATACTCTTTCTCTAGAAAAGAAAAGGCTCATTCGAATTAAAAACAAACAAACAAAAAAACAAAAAAAACAGCCATATTTTGGTCCGTGATCTATATAGTTGTCATTTGGCTTTTAAAAATGCCTCCCAGTGTGATGGGATGTGTCATAGAAACACCTGCTCTCTGGAGGTTAAATTCCTCTGTGCTCAGGACCTGGGGAAATGGCCGCAAGTTGTACCAGTTGTACCAGAGGAGGTTTAGGTTAGACATGAGGAAAAACTTTTTCTCTCAGAGAGTGGTTAGGCACTGGAATGGCCTGCCCAGGGAGGTCATGGAGTCATGGTCCCTGGCAGTGTTCAAGAGGTGTCTGGATGAGGAGCTGCGAGATATGGTTTAGTAGCTTGTGCTAGCAATGGTAATGAGAAGACAGTTGGACTAGATGATCTTATAGGTCGTTTCCAACCTTGTGATTCTATGATTCTATGATTCTATGATTCCTGAGCTCTCCAGACTCAGTGCACCTTTCTGTGTGCTCCCAGGGGCACATCTTGTCTGTAAACAGCATTGTGAGCTGTGTATTTATAAGACAACATTTATAATATATAATTTATGTATATTTTTGTAAGACTTATTGATAACCAAAGAAAAGGGACCTGAAATTTAACGGTTTCCACAGATAAAGCAGATTTTTTTTTGGCTTTCAACTATTGCTTTAAATTTATCTCAAGATAACAATAAACAAAGGGTATTACCACTTGAAGGTCTCCTATGAATGAATAAAATGATGCACACCTGTGTAACTCCATTGCAACAATCACATATGGCTGTTTGCAAAACAGACTCTTGACATAGTGCTAGGTGTATGAAGACCTGACAGTTTTCTATCCAAACAGCACTGTTGGTTTTTTTTTTTTTTTTTTTTTTTTAATTAGTAATGATAAGATTTGCTGGTCTGATTTTTTTTTTTTTTTCTTCTGGGAGTTATAAATAGACAACTATGAAAAAAAATAATCAAAGAAATACGTGGAAAACTAACCTGCTCCATAAATTTGCTTCATAATCCTTAATAATAAGCATCTGTTAATTTTGCTACATTAAACTGGAAATAGAAAGTTGAGCTTACTTCTGGAAGCCATTGCCAGGGCAGAAACACATGTATTTTAACAGCACAATTATTGATCTAGGCCATTCATAAAGACAATGGCTTTTCCATTTGTTCACACATAACACAAGTGGCGAACATGCTTAGATTCTGTTAGAAGCTTATTTAATGTTCTTCAGCTCTTCTTTACTCCTTATCATAATTCATTCTGTCACTAATGCAGTATCTAAGTACCGTTTAGCTCTGCTTTGAACTGTTCTCTTGGTTTTCGTATCTCATTCCTCTGTGTTTTGAGATGATACAAAAGCTGACTCTAAAACAGTGTAATAAAGGAGTCTGCCTTATTGAATTACCAGCACAGAGCTGAACGAATAGTTGTAATTAGCAACTTAGGTAGGTGCGTAGTATGAGAACTTACTAATTTCTTAACCACTTTCAATAAACCATCCATTCCTTTTCTTGGCCAACGATTTTGCTCTGGTTTGTGACCACATTCACTTTGCCATGCTCTCCCAACAGATGCTGATAAATATTCACAAAATGTTGTGTGCTCTGTTTTTACGTTGCTCACTTTGGTTTGATTTCCGTGGGCTGTCATATGTATTCCCTTGACTTTTCCCATAGAGAACAGGACTGTACCTTGCAGTGGTGCTAGCGCTTACCATTCGCTCAAGTCTCTTATCCTAGTACTAAAATAGTGCTGAAACTATTCAGTTGGCAGTATTGTGAGAGAGGATAAGAATGCTATAATGAACTCCAATGCCTACTGTTATTTATTTATGTGCTAATGGAAGGAGCAACATTAGCTCTTCTCTTGTTCATGTCTTGGACAGATAAAGCCAATTTCATATGGGAACTAGTGGGAGGGGAAAAGAGAAGAAATATCTCAAATAAGAAGAAATATATATCTGAAACAGATTTTCCTTGTCATTGAAGATATGTTGTAGACTATAGCCTCTCCCTTCTCTCCTTCCACTAGCACAGGAGAATGACGTTCTTAATATGTGAAGACAAAGAGATTTCTTTAAGATTCAGATTAATAATTTATTTCTAATCTTATCAAATAATTAAGTTAAGAAGGAACACCCTACATTTCAAGTTACAATCTTGAGATTTATGGAAAGTAAAGCACAATTTGATGTTTAAGACATATACCATTAAAAGGCAATTTGGTTAGTCTTACAGTCTCTTCAATCTTAAAATAGAAGATTGCAGCTATTGAATAACTCTCTAATCAGTGAGGGAAAAAAAAAAAAGACAAGTTTTGATAGAGCACAAAGTAAGTTAATTGATTCAGGATTTTACAACCTTAAATGCTCTATGAATAGTGTTGTTATTGATGTTGTTATTTTGGCTTAACAGAATTGTTAGTCAGAAAGATTAGTGCAGTGGAAAGACGATACAAAAGTGGAATGGCAAAAGGGACAAACAGGAAAACAATGTTCATCTGTCTCTGAGGATCTAGCCTTACAGGAAAAAAGCTCTACAAGGGAGGGATTTCCAAACAGAGATCCATCCAGGGTGGCAGTCAGCCCTTAAATGGAGTCTAAGAGAGGTGGAGCCAGGATCTACCCCTTCTGGTTACACAGGTGAATTGTCTTCATCTGTGCTCCCAGGGCTGAGCCAGTCCTTTCCTCAGGCAATCAATCAGTGGTTTAGGCTGTGACTCAACAGTTCCCGTACACAAAACAAGTGAAAAAGGATTTTCTTAATTGCTTCTTTCTTCCAGGATGTTTCTTTTCCTATGCAGATCTTATATCACCGTTCCTTGCAAAAAATTGTTTAAGAAAAGACGTACTCAGGATGCTGTGACATTATAGGATTTCAGAAGCTCCGTATCTCCAGAAGAATTCAATGCCTTGCTAATTGTGATCTTGTGGGTGCTTCCATCATTGGGCCAGCATGAATTAGTCCACCAATTTTCAAGTACATTTTAAGCTTCTGAAGTCAATCATCTAAGACTGTAGAAGTATCTCTCTTTCTCCGTGTTCCTTGAGTGAACAAGATAGCAATATGGAACTGATTTACTACACAAGGAGGAGGAGGGAGGGGGAGAAGGAAGGTAGAGGAGGTTCTTCCAAGAACCTCTCTAAGAAAACTCTCAGAAATACGCTGACATCTTTTTCCCCTCTTTTCCCATTTCATAGAAGTGAACAAGTTGAAATAGATACATTCATGGAAGGCCTTTTCAGAATGTTAAGCTGTGATTATTTTTCTATAAGTTTTCTAATCACTGAATTGTTTTGAAATACAACAGTAAGTGAGAAAAATTATTTCCTCTTAAGAAGAACCCATAATACCATTTTCTTATTTTCTTTTCTAATCCTTCTTTCACTGAAGAGGTAAACTTTTATATGCATCCATTTGGTGTATATAAGAACATTCTATCATTAATCTTTACTGGAAATTTGATTTCTTTGGTGTTTCTGACATTTTTCCTATAAAAAACTTTCATTTCACTACTATTTTCTAGTGTGTTATACTTTTAATAATAGAATATCATGAAGGGCATCAAAAATAATAGAATACACATAGACATAAGCATGCATGAAGGCATAGACATCAACGTGAAAATCTTCCATTTTGTACTTCAAATAGGCTGATGGAATTTGGACCTAGATTTTTAAGTTCAAGTTTGTTTGTTTGTTTGTTTGTTTGTTTGTTTGTTTGTTTT